GTACTGGTGGTGGTGGTGGTGGTGCTGGTGGTGCTGGTGGTGGTGGTGCTGCTGCTGGTGCTGGTGGTGGTGGTGGTGGTGGTGGTGGTGGTGGTACTGGAGGTGCAGGTGCTGGTGCTGGTGCTGGTGCTGGTGCTGGTGCTGGTGGTGGTGGTGGTGGTGGTGGTGGTGGGGGGTGGCGGCGGCGGTGGTGGTGGTGGTGGTGGTGGCGGCGGCTTCGGCAGTGGTGGTTGTACTATTACTTCTACGACGACCACGACAACCACGACGACCACCACAACCGCGACGATGATGGCGACCACCACGACGACTCCGATAGATTACAAGTACTACAGGCTACCACTACGACTGGCATACGACCACAATGACTACTATTTCATACTATTACAATGATTCGCCTTTTTATTATTATTAGTAGTAGGAGGAGTAGTAGCAGCAGCAGCAGCAGTACAAGTTGTGTCATCGCAGGAGAACAAGGACCCAGCCGCAGCAGGAGCAGCAGCAGCAGGATTTGGGGTGGAATTTAGCAGGTCTTGAGAAGACAACTTGGTAAGTCAAAGGTGACTGGTTGAAAGATTGCCCTCAGAAGCGCTCAAGGCTTTACCGGCGTGGGTTGACATAACTTGCTGCGAGTTTGTTTTGTGCGTCATTGGAGGTATGCAAAGGCTGCGCATTGGACTAAGGCCGGCATGTTGCACCTGAGCCAAAAACGACAAGATCTTTTTGTCTTAGCCCAATGCCCTTAGGAAAAACAATAGCATCCTCACCAATTTCTAATGACCAGAGTCCAAACAAACGTGTACCAATGACGAACATCACCACCCCAATTATAATTGCTCATAGAGAACAGAAGAGGTAGATTTCGGTAGTATCAGAAGGAGCTGTTGGCAAAAAACATGCAAGACTGAGATGCAAATCAAAAGTCCGTTGATTCGGGACTGGAGTAGAACTTGAAGGTCCTCAAGCCTGAAATGCTTCCAATCGGCGAGTCGCCTCAAGTCTGAAGGTTCTAGATTATCTAGATTTATGCAAAAGCCAAGGCGCCAGTGTCGATGCGCACTTTTTTTGCGTTGCGCAGGTCTACAGCCCATCGTGGATTTCGGGACCTCCCAAATGCTGGGCTGACATCGAGGCCAGGGTCCTCATGCTGCAGTAGCTAGTATTTTTCATAATCCGAGGACAAAAGCTTGCTTATCGACAAGGGCCACAACACGTATGTGTCTGATTTGCAAATCTAGCCTGTTTTGCGGTACGTCCGTATGTTCGACTGATTCCTGCATGGCTTATGTAGGTCGGCGCAGGTGTGTGTCAGTGTTAGCAGCTCAGGTACCGGTAGACTTTGCCTGCATGTCCTGGGGCAGCTCATTTTCGTCTACTGTGGGTGTGCCTGAAACATTGCCGTCCGAGGATCCCGGTGCTTATTCTTGACCAAGTCAAGTGTGGATGTTGCAGTCATGCTAGTATGCACATCTGCACGGTCAGGATTATCCAAAAGAGGAAGATGCTGTGCTGTGGCGTGGCTATACTGGCTGTTGTCTTGCAATCTTGCAGCGCCCAAAGATCAGCCTTGTTGTCTGCAACCTGCATTCCCCACTCAAAATGTGAGGGAATGTCAGAAGCGATGCCGGGAGAAGAAGAGCTGCGAACACTTTACTGCTCCTCAGTTGGAAGTTTCAGAGGTAGTGATCGAGCCGTACGTTGTTGCCATGGACAGCCGTAGAATCACTGTGGAAGGTGTCCTTCCCTCTTCGAACTTGTAGCTTTGCTGGACCTGGGTCAGTCGTCGTCAATGGCATTGCCGGAGCCATTTCTGGACCACCCAAGCGCCTTCCCTGGATTACTTGCTCAAAAAGTTTCCAGAATGTGGCAACTGCAAACCCTCTCCCTTCGAAGTGAGGTGCGGTGAGAAGGCCATGCAGCTCCTTGGCTCCAAAACGTTGTGCTTGTAGCAAGCGTTCAGTTTCAGGATGCATTTGCGACTTAGGTCCTACTACTGGGAAGTTCTGCCGGGTTATGCCAAGCGACTTATGAAATGGACCTTGCCATCGGGTGCGAATCTCTGTTGCACAAGGGCAGGCGCTCAGACAAGACTGAGGTATTCTGTTTTTTTCGTTCGCTGATCATGTGTTGTGAAGGAACATGTGTTTTGGTGGGCTCCTCTTGGCAGTCGGGGTCTCGTTACTTGCGTCGAGTGCTCAGTATCTTGAGGCAGATCACGGCTAAAGGGCGATTCAGCCCACAAGCGCCAAGGTTTCGTCGTCAGCAACCTCCGCGCACCGTTCGTGGCGTCCAGCGAGCCTTGGTGCCAGAAGAAGACATGCAAACCTGGTGGCCAGCCGAGGACACTGCAGAGCAGAAGTTGGGTATTTTGGGTTTTGCGTTGGTTCTGAACGCTTGAGACAGGATGTTGAGATGTCGGCACTCGAGTGATCGGATTCATATCTATGAGTCGACAGCGGACATCTTAACTATACAGTGGCAGGGTGTGTTTCGAACGTAGCCCCCCCGCATTCTTGATGTGGCGCAAGATGTTGCAAAAGCAACGCTTGAGCATATAGAGGCAATGACCCGTCACTGGCGCACGTCAGTATCATTCACTCTTAATTTGCAGGCTCACGCTGTTGGGCTGCTTGCTTGCCCGGGAATCCGGGACGTGCAGCACTTGGCAGGCATGTGGCCATGCGGACATGCGGCATGCGGACCAATGATGTCCACGCTGTTCTTATTCGAGAGAAAAGGTCTCCAGGCATACAGGGGTCCGCGCGTAGTTGACGACAGGAAGGGCGGATTTGCCGTAGGGCGGATTTACCGTAGTCTGGGCACCATTTAGTCCGCGCAGACTCATACCAGAAAACTAGGGCCCTTGGCGCACGCAAGAGAATGACAAAGGCACGACTGCAGATCGATGCAGACGAGAAGTTTGCCTGGGGTGTGGGTGCGGCTCAAGTAAGCATGAGATCGACGATGGCTCATAATTTCATCATCTCATGACACGTTTTCTGTCTCGTGGCTGACGCTCGTACACATAGCAAGATCATTGTGATGGTGGCAACAGTTGTCATGCTGATTCGCAACTGCGGAAGAGAAACCTGCAGCTTTTCAGCGAGCCCGTATTGAAATTATACATTTGTTCCTTTGCTTCCAGTCACCGCTTGCCAAAATGGCCGCGGGGGCTGCAGACAACCGCAATGGGCACCATCAAAAGATGGCTGAGCTTAGCAACTTTCCGGAGTGACCTGGCAGCCGACATTTCATCAGACTTTTGTTTGATGTGCATTCTTTGCAGAAACACATTTGTCCAGAACTTTTCTTTACCAGTGAGGTACCTGCCTGCAGAGGTCCGAGAAGGATTTCTGGCAGACAGCACAGCCCGACAGAGTTTCGTGCTCCAGCTTCTTTCGAGCAACTTGCTGGCAGCAGTATCATGTGTTGTAGCATGCATGCAGCAATGTAGCAGTACAGGCGACCCGGCACCTCCAGATTCGACAGAAGTTCTGTTCGGCTTGAAATGTCTGAAGATCTTGGAGGAGCTGCAGACACCGACCAAGCTCGATTTCAAGCTGGCCGTCCTACGTGCACTCTGGAAGCTGATTATCGCAGGGTCCCAAGCCCGACCTGGACGGCCGTTGTACGGATATTCAGCAAGTGCAAAGATCCTGGAGAGCTTCAGGGCTTGGCTGAATTATACGGATACCGAGCACATCGTTCCCATTTGGCGACCCGAGGCGGCGAGCCAAGAAGAAGCTGATCAGTTGGACGCTCTTCGCAGAGAAGTGGACGTTCGCGTGCCACTGCGACTCATCTTCGAAGAAGTCCGCAAAAGTCCGCGTATTGACTGCTCCGTGGGCAACTCAAAGCGTAGGAACTATGTGCTACAGCTTGTCAATGTGTGTGCTTCGTTCACAAGCTTCCATGGCTGCATTTCGGTCTCTGACGCTAAAGAACTCGCGGCAGAGCTGGCGGAGAAAGTTGACAGCTTGCATGTATATTCCTTGGTGTACGCCAAGCTGTTGGTCCTCACCACACCGCGAGTCATGACACCCCAGATTATTTTAGATGGTAGACTATGGTCGTGGTGGTCAAGATTACCAGAGGGCTTGATTCCAAAGTTCGACTTAATGTGGTTCCACTGCTTGGCAAGGTATGCCGAACTCCGCTGGGCGAACAAGGTTGAAGATGCCCTTCGACAGACGGGTTCAGAAGGCCAGTCTGACGAATGCCTGGGAAGGCTTCAAGAGCAACTTCCTTTCCTAATGAATAAGATTGCACGCACCTTGTGTGTCCCGTTTGGATCTCCAGCTGCCAAAGCAGTGGATGGAAACAAAGGAGAGCGTGTCCCAGACTTAGATCGATACCCAATCCCAGAAGAAGTTGACACCGTGTTCATGGGCAACCAGACAGCATGGAGGGAGGTTGCGATCTTCCTGATCTACCTCCTGGAGCCAGCTCCACCACAGCAGCCGTCACCAAGCAACATATGGACACTTTTGACAATGCTGTTTCGTCGGATGCGGCCGTTCCTCACACCCGCAACGTCGCAGGGCGAGTGGCTTTGGCACTGCACAACCCTCATGCACAACTTGACTTCGCAGTACTTCAAGCGGATCAGCCAAGAGCGCCTCCTGGAGACAACCGCCCCGAAATCCAATCACTTGACAGCAGAAGCTGATCGTGCTTTCCTCATGCTGCTGCTACCATTGGTGCGCGACCTGCTAACCGTGCGTTCTGCACATGAAGTTGTCACATCTTTGGACAACCTCGGGCGGCTTACCAAAATCTCAGCAATGCAGCCTGACCTGATGGCTCTTGATCCTTCTTCCACCATCGATCCTTTCCGTGTGGACTTTCACTCCATGGTCATGCATGCTACGGAGGTGTTGAATGACCCATCCATGTCCGGAAGACATGCTACGCTTTTGCGCGTCTTCGTCTCGATCATGCCAGCTCTGACTTGTCAAATGCCGGCTGTCATCGGCGAGTTGCTCCCCTTAACGCTGCTGGGGATCGATCCCACCGATGTGTCCAAGACGATGTCCGCTCTAAGGCTTCTGACATCGGTCTTCTCTCAGATGCCTTGCCTGGACTTAAACGACTGGGAACTGGGGGACAGGGTCAGAGACGGCGATTTCAGCCATGTCCAGTGGCCATTGCCACCTGATGCTTCCATGAAGTGTGGAGATCCCGATTACAGTGCGACCGGAATAGTCTCATCTATGTTACCTTCATTTGCTGTGGAATTTGTTCAGCGTGCGTGCGATTATGTCACGCGGATCCCTAAACCTCGAGGTGCCAAACAGAGCAAGATTTCTATCGAAGGTACATGCACAGGCTTGCTACATGGGGCTCTTTGTCTGGTGGCCACCCAGACAGACAAAGAAACCTATAAGCAGATGGTGGAAGAGGTGTCTGAGTTTCTCGGCACTAACCTACTGCCGGACCAGGTGAAGCCTGCTGCGCAGGTCATCTTCGCAATTGCCCGCGCATGCCCTGAGGTCTCTTTGTCCATGCTGCTTCCGAAATTCTTCAAGAAGCTTCTCCCGCACCAATCTCCAGCAGCATTGCATGAAGTAGGGGTATCAGAGAGTGAGGCCAAATGGTTTCTGTCTCTTCTTAGCGCCTCAGTGCGCTCGGGAGGGTCATGGCTACTTGCCTACCGACAGCAGCTCGAGGCCGTCATCAGGTCTGCACTTTTGGATGAGAGGGAAGCGGTGACCAAGCTTGGCATGAAGCTTCTCCGCCGAGTTCTGTACGCAACCACTGCCATCTACGTCCAGGCTGACTACAGGCTTTGTGACGATTCAGTGTGGCAAGGATTGATGGGCTGCAGACGGGGCAGCACGGTGCCTGGTGGCGCAGGTCTTTCATCCTTGCTGTGGTCAGGAGTCAAGGGACCCTGGTGGCTGGCGGGAGGTGCCAGCGGTGCTTCGGCCTCAGTCAGCTGGCATGTGCCTTCGGAGGAGGAAGTCGCCTGGGCCAGGGAGTTGGTCTTCGGTGCGCTTGACCAAGCTGGCAAGCTTCTAAGCTCCATCGTAGAGGTGCCCAGCCTGAAAGGGGGTAGCTTTCCAGAGGGAACCAGCTGGTTGGATGGCTTTGCCACAAGCCTGCCGCCCAAGAAGAAGTTTGCCTACGGTATCATTCTTGCGACCCGGCTTATCAACCAGGTTCTCAGGGGTACATCTGACCTGTGGCCAGATGAGCGCAGCACTGCAGAACTTGAAGCCAGGCAACTGCCAAAGAATCTGAAGGTTGCTGGTAACACCGCGGAGACAATGTATGCCTGGCTCTTCCCGCTGGTCTCTTCTGCCTTCAATGAGCTTGCTGTTCAGGAGCAGTATGGAGTTGCCCAAGCTGGAAAGCTTGACCAGATAGATGTATCCAGGGTAATGCGAAAGCTGCTGAAGTGCATCGCGGAGCTCAGTGGTGCCTGGAGAGATGTCCACCCGAGCAGTCTGCGGCTCTTCCCAAGCCTGCGCCAGGTGGACAAGGAGGCTCAGGCTCTGGCCTGGCATTCGACAGCAATGGATCGGCTTCACCCTCATTCAAGATGGCGCGATCTGCCGCGCGTCTGGTGGGTGGAGCGCGTTGCCGAAACCATGGAAGGCCGTGTTCACGAGCGACGATCTGCCCTCCGCTATTCCGGAGTGCGAAAAAAGTTGGTTGAAGCAGTTGCAAAGCAGATCTTCACAAGTGGCTTTGAGCCCGTGCGCGCTCGTGCTCTGGACATCGTTACAATGGCCATTCAGCATCATCAAGGTGGCCGGTGGCCACTAGTGCGCGATGTTTTGCTTCCTGCGCTGGCCAAGGAGACGCAGGCTGCCGCGCAGTGCTCTTCTCTTACAGGAGACGCGGCAGACAAGGAGCAGCAGCGGCTGAATGACTCATTGTGCGGTCTGGCCTTGGCCTTGGGTGGACGCATCAATGGCCTCATTGGAGCTGTTTGGCGTCGTGGCAGCGGCCTCAGCGACCCAGGTTTTATGTTTGAACACAGTGCTGCTCCATCATTAGAAAGCATGGGGCGAGGTTTCCAACAACCCTATTTCTGAAATCTTAGGCTGGCACATTCACGCAAGGTCCAAATGTTACCCAACCATGCCCTATCAGTGTTGATTCAATATGAGGCATTGATGATGCTGCAACCATTGGCCTCAGCCTTTGCGAGGCTATCTTTGCAGCAACGCGTGTCAGCAGCAGCCAGGCAGCTCTCTCTTCCGCCGGAGATAGCAAAGACCAGAAGTGCGAGGTCAAACCCAACACCGTCTCAAGGCTAATCTCAGCCATGAAGCACTGGCTGGACTGTCGAGAGGGCCAGTGTTGGGCTGAGACACGTCAGCGCTCCAACGCTCCCCTACTGCAGGATGAGATTGTGGATGAGGTTGAGGCCCCTACAGCTCCCCAGAATGCCCGTGGATTATCCGCATTGCGGATAGTGTCAAAGGCCTTGCAGATCTGTGAACGTGGAGACTGCCACTGGCGAGCACAGATCATGGCCTCAACGATGAGCCTGGCATTGTTGAACTCCCTGGGAGCATTGGGACTTCCCCCTGGGCTGAATGTGGAGGAGACCGCAGAAGCAAAAATGGTTTGGCTGCAGTGGGGTCGTTGGCTTGTTAAGAGCATGGACCCGAAAGGCCAGCCAGGAATGCATGCTTTGGCTATCCACAGCCTGCAGCTCATGCTGAAGAGATCTCCCCTGAGCCAGTCTGAGTTTGCACAGCTCGGTATTCAAGACGCAGGTTTCTTCCAGAATCTCCTGAAAGTTCTGCCGCCCCTGAATCACGAGGATCTCATGGTCACCGCAGAAGACCAAGTGGGCCAGAAGAGCGAGCCCACGCGAGGACCGGTCAATGTGATGGTGAGCCATGGCTTTTTTGAGGTCTGGCCACGAATTTGGCTGCGCCGGTCCTCCAACTCATTTTCACTTCAAAATGCCTTGTTCTGGCAGAGCTACACCAGGATCCTCATGACAGAGCTCAGCGGCGCTGATCTGGTAGGGTTATTCTTGAAAGGAGCTGAGGAGCTGGCATCGCAGCCGGTTGCAGAAGCTGAGTACCATGCAGCCTTTGCCGAGTTTTCCGCAGGAGTGTTGCGAGCTGTCCGGAAGCCGGGGGCTTTACAACTACGAAAAAGTTTGTGGAGCCAGCTACGGCCCTTGTTCCTGTCCGCATTGCAGCAAGCATCGGAAGAACGCCTTGGGACCTGGTGCGACGCTGCTCGCTTCATCGCCACAGGTTACTGTCGACCAGAGCTTTGTCGCATGTTTGCAGAACCTGCCCAGGAGAAGCCGGAGCATCTGAGCGCGAGTCTGCAGTATTTGACTCCACTCTTCAACTTCGTTGTGGCAGGCGACGGCGAGCTTGAGTTTGATGCGCTCAGTTGCACGCTACCACCAATCCGGCTTCTTGCTTGCAAGGGCCGACCAACCATCCTGCATTTCGCCTTGGCAGTCAGATGTCGCATGCTCGTAAAAAGCTAACAGTTGCATTAAGTCTCATCTGGTTGCCGAGCTTGTGCGCTTCTGCTGCAGTCTGAGGTTTGAGTACGACGAGAAGCTTTCCGAAGACAAGGGCTCGTCCTTCGACTCCTTCAAGCGCCTCAGACTTTTGATGTCTTTGCTGATTGAGCCCTCTGCCACGCAGATCCTCAGCGAGAGCTTCTGCAAGAAGCTGGTGGAGACTTTGGAGCAGGGGTTGGGCCATCCTTACAAACAGTTGCGTGAGGAGGTGGCGAGGGGTCTCTTCTTCATCGTCCAGGCTGCTTCGCACCAGGACTTAATGGCGGAAGCGGGGGCGGGCTTAAAATCCGTATCACTACAACTGGAGACATGGTTTTGTGCAGAGGCTGTGAGGTTGACACCGCTGCTTCAAGCTGACAATGCAGCACATAGAAACGAAGGAGACGAGGCTACAAGACCCAAACATGTTGTCGAGAGCTCTGGTTTGGTCTACGTGCTCTTGCATGCATCCTTGGCAAGGTTTACTTCAGCTCGGCTGCGGGAGTCAGCTTCAGAGCTTTTGAGCTTCCTTGTTGCAGCCGCAGCGCATGGTGACCTTGAACTGAGAGCGATTGCTCCACATGCCCTCTCGCTCTGCTGCGCTGCGCATCCGCTGACTCCGGGGCCCGAGCACCAGAAACTCTGGCAACAGCTTCCCATGGTGAAAGCGTTGAAGAGCTTGGTGAGCAGCAGTGCGCCCGATAAAGAATTGGAGAAAGCTCTGGCTGCAGGCCTGAAGCCGGTAATAATGGCAAATTTCTTTGTGCTTATGAATGGTGGTCCTGAAGCATTGTCATTGTATGCTGAGCTGCGCTCGGCTGCAGAGCACTCCCTGGGCAACACAAAGCCTGAAATCCGCACAGCAGCACGGGGTGCAGTTGCAAGTTTCTTGACTGTAGAAGCAGAGCCAGAGATCCGGACACGCCTCAAGGCCTTGAAGGCGAAGGCAGGAGTTCCAGGCAAAAGCGATGCCAAGGCTGAGAATGGTGATTTCTGCTCAATTGTAAGCACCATGGCTTGCACGTTGCTAGCTGCTGCAGACCTTGGTGTACCGAAATGGTCTGGCCTTGCGATACAGACGGTTGCACCTTACGGGAAGCCAGGCATACAAGAGGCAGCGCGCAAGGAGGTTCAAGCTGCCATCCAGGCATTCCTGAAGCTGCAGCAATCAAGCCAGCAAACGTGGAAGGAATGCCAGGACAAGCTGACGTCCAATCAGCTTGACCTATTGAATGACAACAAGGGCAAACTGTCCTACTTTTCATAACTGTATCATCTGTAGCAGTGCTGGAGCTGTACACACGAATGATCTCCATAATAGCGACCTGCAGAACTTCCCACAGACTGAGGTTGCGTCACTTTCAGTTTTCGCTCTGGTCCTCGCAATGAGGCCGACAAATGTAGACACCATATAGGGAAGCAATGTAGGTTGCCACTAAGCTTTCTCTGAGCATCGTTGCCGCCAGAAAATGACCCGCTGTCTGTCTTGTGACTTGCGCTGCAGTCCTGCACGATGTTCAGAGTGGTGGCTGTGGCATCAAAGCACATCATCGCTTTCGTGAGGCTGAAATCAATGCAAACCACTGCACACGCTTGGCTGTTGAACCCTGAGCCACTCCCCGAAGATGATGCAAGCTGGTACCAGGAAGCCGCAGCCCCTGCCCGCCAAACGTCCAGCATGAAAGCTAGAGTCACAGAAGGGCAGGTCAGAATTCTGCTGCAACAACAACAACAACAACCCGAAGGCAAAACAACGGGTTGCAATCGGAAACCAATGGAGAGCCGCGGCTGCATGTTGCAGAATGCTGGCACCTGCTCCTCCGAGAGAGGAGGAGGTGGATGTTCGAACCTGGAGTTGTCTACCGCCTGACCTGCTGCGCCAGGTTGGGATTTCTGAGTACTTGTCGCCAGATGTTCATGGATTCTATGGTGGCCATCTTAGATGAGTCTGTCCGGTGTGCTTAGGGCAAAGCTTGAGCAGCCAGCCTGCTTTCGTTAGGTGTTTTCAAGTCGCGCTGGCAGGATTGCGGCAATCCCTTCCTGAGCCTTCCTCGTACATTGATATGCGGGCAGGACTTCCATGTCTACGAAGTTGATCCCGATGGTGTAGGGGTCTCATCTCAACCTTCTCAAGCTGAACTTCAGCACAGAAGCCAAGGTAGAGCTTCACTTGAGTGAGCTCATCAGTCCAGGGGCCGTGGCAGCAGAGCTCAAGAGGACAGCTGAAGAGCTCCTGGCTCAGGCACAACGATGGCATGGGTTTTTGAGAAGTGGTGAAAGCCCAGGCGGCGAGAAGCTCGAGGCGCCTTGGGTCCAGGCTTCCAATTTGAGGCCTCCGTTGAAAATGCTCGGCCCTGAGACAGATCGAGCTCGTAGAAGACAAGGGCATGGAATTCATGGAATGCATCTCAGGAGCTGAAGGAGGCGCTTGGCGAGGGCGTCCTGCAAGAGCTGCTTGGTCGGGCTGCCGCGTCCAATGTCTAAAGCATGGCCCAAGCTTCGTCTCGACAGGCTTTCTGCAAAAGCAAAAGCCCACGGCTACGCCTAGTGAGGCAGGTCAAAAGGAGAAGGTGGCAATGGGTGTGGCTGTGTATCACCTCTTTCAGACGTGGCGTGCTTCAGGCCGAACCCTCTGAGAAAGCAAATTCCACAGGTCGTCTTGATGAGTGAGCAACGGCTAATGTGTTTGAGCACCTGTTGTGCGAGGAGAGGACGCTGTCGCTGAGCCGCCGCCGGGCTACGTAGCCTGATCGCATGAAGCTGCGTCGCACCGGTCTTGTAACTGAAGCAACTTGCCACGCCGGTGCAGGTGGATTTCGATGCTGATGGGATCAACGATGGATCGAAGGAGGTCCAATGCGAGCACCAATCAAGCAATCACAGCGGGGCTGCGCTACGTTTGGACAAGGCCCGGAAGAAGGCCCACCAGATCATTCTGAAACATCTTGGTAGTTTCATCAACACAGAAACGGCATCGTCCCTAGCTGTCATGGGCAAAGCCCGGCCTTCGGTCAACAATCGTTTGCTTCGAAAGGTCGAATCTGACGGCTCTCGGTCGATCCGAGTTTGGATGCGTGAGGTCCCCCATCTCACAGCGGTGTCAGGTCCCTCACAGACAGGTTCGATCGAAGCTCCGAATATTCGCATGCGAGGCAGAGAGAAAGGCCAAAGCTCCTGCAGCAACGTCCGACAGCCACTCTGTCGCCGATTGGAGCAGGGGAGCACCTCAACTAGCAGTCCCGGCAAAGGAGCCATGTGCTTTGCTGCCAGGCTCCCACGGCAAAGGAGCCAAAAAAGGAAAGGGAAAAGGTGGTAAAGGCCCGTCACATCACGCTGCGCTCAAGTACTCAAGTGCATGGCAGTGGATCGCAGGCAAAGGCAAAAACAGCAAAGGGAAGAACAATAAGAGTGAAGGCACGCCGAGCCTGCTCGGAGATGCAACCCTGTCTTCTAATGTCTGAGGCCAGACATCCGTGGAAACGCAGTCGAGCTTTGGCACCATGAGACGGGAGGGCTGGCCAAAAGCCTCGGCCTCACGGAGCAGACCCGTTAACCCGTTAATCGCCCTCACATGAGAGAGCTGACCAGCTCCTTTCTCGAGGATCGGCCAGACTACCTCTACTTCCGTCTGCACAAAGAGCTGCCTTACTGCATTTCATCTGTTTTCAGTGGTGAGCACAAGGCGTGCCAGTATGTGCCAGCATCGGAAGACTGCGTAAGGAACTGCGACACGGGCGAGGCAGTTTCTTCCATCGCCCGTTGCGTTGGGAGATCTGCTCGAGCCTCAAGCTTTTCAACTGCCTTGCAGGGCACATCGCAGTGTCAAGCAAGCTGTCCTCACAAGGCGAAGCAGTTTACAATTGCCGGCACGAAGGACCGACGCGCTGACACCTGAGTTTGACTAAAGGTTGGCATCTCAAGGGCTGGTCCAATGTTGCTACTCTTGCCACCGGTGCAAGGCCATCACTGTACAGCAGATTTGTGCTGGGACCTCATACCTGAGATGCCGTCCAAAACAGCAGTAAGGTGCTTTTCAAGCAGCATGCAGCTCTCCTGCGAGCTTGTCCCCTGAGCTGCTGTGCTTGCGCATGTACTTGTACGGAGGCGCACCGCCTTCCCATGGACCAGCTGCGCCGCAGCGTGCTTCACAGGATCCTGCTCAAGGGCCCTCTCGCTACATGAGCATGTGGCCAGCTTCTTGGTGCACTGCAGGCTTTGGGACAAGCGTGTGCGCATCTCTGACTTGGAGTACCGGAAAGAGCGCTTGAGACTAGGACAGCTCCGCCTCTCCCCCAGCTCGCATTGATAAGACCAGAACTTTAGCAAAGGTATGCAACAGCATTTTGAGGTGGCAACCGCTTCAAGGTGGTTCTGCAAAAGGTGCCGCTTAACGACTTGAAGGTCTTCAACTCAGCTGAACATCAGAACTGAAACGTTGAAGCTAGCTGCTGCAGGCGAGTACATCCGAGGGGTGTGGCCTGGCTGACTCTTCAGTGCTTGCTCAATTGTTTGCTTCAGCACCCGTGAGCCCCGAGACCATGTTGGTCCACGTCCCCACGTCCCCACGTCCACCAAGTAATTATCAACATTCCTTTGTCAGTTAATCAGCTCTCCAATTTGCCTTTGCTTATGGGAAAGGCAGTGAAGATAGCCAATCATCCAGTCATGTCAGCCGGAGCCCTGGGCCTTGCCAGCTCATGCCAACACTTTTAAGCCATTCGCCAAGGCAGTGCGATGACCACCGCACGGCAAGGCTGGCAGGAAGTGTGGCAGAAGCGTTCAAGTGTGCACTCGCTTTGCGGAGGCTTTTTGAATTACTACGGCCTTCAGCGATTTGGAACTCGCCAGGTCAGGACTCACACGGTGGCAAGCTGAGTTGGGACTTATGCGCTCCTGGACTGGAGACGCCTAAGGCAGGTAATCAGCATAATCAGCATCAGAGTGGGCCTCTTGCTGCGTCTCTTTTTCGCCTCGAAGTTCGATCGACACCTTCCCTTTGCACTTGCGCCATGGCCGAGGTTGGTGCTGCAATCATAGCCGGTGAGTGGCAGAAGGCGCGAATGGCAGATGGTCTTGCCTGGAATTTCGGCATTTTCCCCTGAAGTGTTATGATGTGAGCCTGGGATGAGGGTGGCAGGTGGTGCAGACAAGTGGCAATTTTCTCATATGCTTTCACCGACAGGCAGTCCGACTAATTCTTGGCGAGGCAGAGGGTAAGCCCTTTGCTGCGACCTCTGGCATCTCGCGCAAACGGCTCCATGCCATGATGGTAAGACAAGGAGGTGGCCGGAACTCTCGGTAAGCGTGCGGGTGAGGAAGCCGGAGACTCAGATCGGCCCAAGCGCAATAAGGACAGCTGGGGCTCCAAACAGGTATCCTCACCACCTTCCAAGAGGAGATGCCTTGATTCTGAAGAGGACAAGGCGGAGAAGGACATTCCTCCACGTATACAGTAGCTGAATGAAGTTTTTTCCCTGATACATCAGGACGAAAGCATGGGGGGAGAAAATGCGGAGGGAGCGCAGAGGCATGAGAAAGAGGACACGCAGAAGGCAGCACAAGTCATGATGTCCTGCAGAGGGCTGGGAAGGGCGCGAGCCACTACAGGTGAAAGGCAAAGGCGCAGGTAAGGGCAAGCAGGGGGCCGCCGCCTACTGAGCGTTTGCATGTACGCATAGCCTGCTGCAGCAATGAAGCAACAAGGTCCTGCAAGCACAGCGGCTCTTTCTGGTATCAGGCTTAGACTTTGCCGTAACGGCTATCAGCTGCTGAACGAGTGCCTGGTGCCGTATGCCCAGACAGGAGGATGGAGACGCGCAGCGCGCGCTTGAAGTCATGCGACGGGGTTGCAAGAAGGGTGGTGAATATGCACCAATGTGTCAGTTCCCCAGTTCAGCCCAGGCCGCGGGGATTCGGCCTCAGTCAGCATTCACGCAAGTAAACGGGAAGATCGGTCATCAGACGTGTTCGACCCATACTTCCTACTCCCTGAGGTCAGCATTTGGAACGTTGTCTGCTTGGTGCCCTCGCTCGTGGACTCTCCTTTGCACGAGCCACAGCCAGGCAGTACGCGAATTGTGTCTGCAAAGAGCGGCAATTGAATTTGAGGTAGATGCCCTCAGCCAGTTGCCTCACCAAGCAGCTGTGGCCTTTGATGCGGGTTGTTCGACTGCACGTGGTGTAGATGCAACAGCGCAAGGTCTCGCTCTACGCCCATGCCGCTCAAAGCTTGCTGTGGAACGCCGTCCTCTCCAGGAGGATCTGTCACGGCACGCAGAGCCTTCTTTCAGATATACACACGCAGAACAGGATTCATGACTTTGGGCGAGCACCTCGCGCAGGCAAGGAGCTGACCAAGTTTTGTAGCTATCATTATCCGTCACCGCTCTGAGATGGTAGCAGCTGCGATTACAAGTTGGTACTACAACGCAAACGGTAAGGTGGACGGGTGGCCATACATGCCAAAGCTGCATTAGGAAGACGCCCTTAGACAGAAGAAGGTGGGGAGGTATTCATATTTTGCACCTCACCAATGCAACAGTACGAGCAAACCATAAGCAGGAGTCAACACGGCCTCATGCGATATGAGATTTCGTAGGAACGCCGCATGGGAGCCTTAAGGTTGTCACCGCTAATTCTTGCGATCGTTCACATTTTTTTGTATCGTGCTGCAAGGCAGGGGTTATTCCCAGCACGCACTTAAGAAGGGAGCTGAAGTTACACAGACGGTGGCATTATGCTACAGACCATCCGTGTTTCCTCGTGACTGCTGCGAGCTTGGATGCAGAGCAGCCAATCAGTTCCCTTGATCGGGTGTTTGCGAACCAGCACCCAAACGTAGTTGCCCTGCTGAGCTCACCAGGATCATGGGAGGTTGCGCGCGACATCGCAACCACATAGAGTCGGGACAGTAAGTTGTAGTAATGGAGTTCCAGCAGACTTTTCCACCAAACAAGCTTTTTGCACATCTCCAAAGGGTGAATCAAGTGCTTGACTGGAAGATACTGGAAGCATGCATCTGTCCTGAAGGAAGGTCGCCCACGAGTGGTTTCTGACTTCCCTGTACCCTTCCCCAGGGAGACCCACGCTTTACATATGGTGAAAGGGTGGGCCTCTTCACTGAACGCCGTCAACAGATAACCAAAAAAGCAAATTGACATTCAGAATTTCCACATTTCCGCGTTTGCACATTTTGGAAGACCCCAACTTTTCACATTTGCACATTTCCGCAATTCCACAATTCCAAAATTGCATCCCCTATGTTTGTGGAAATGTGGAAAGTTAGGCGCTGCAAATTTGGAATTGTGGAAAGTTGGTGGCTGCAAATGTGTAACTGTGAAAATGTGGAAAGTTGGGTCTAAAATGTGGGAATATGGACATGTGGGTATATGGAAAGTCAAAGAGTCTAAACGCTGAAACGTGACATACGGGAATCTCAGAGATGTTGAAGAATAGATGCCACACGTTTTGCTCGAGGTGATTATGGGCTGAAGGAAAATCAAGGTTCCCTGAAATTCACCTCAACTCAGTGATGTATGCTTTGCTTTACGTGGGATTCTGCTCTAGAAGCCTAATGAAGACCATGATTCCAAAATCCTTATCAAGACTCTCCTTCTTTTGACAACCCTGATTTCCAAGACTAGCTGGAAGTTTGTTAATTGTTAAGAATCTCTGTGGAGGATTTTTAATAAGGATCCTCACGAGGAACAAGAATGACAGTTCTTCAGTGACATTGTTGGAGATGTTCATCCAAACTAATGTTGGGTATCCGTGTTAGGCGTACATTGAATTACAGGTACCAGAGGAAGCTCTTGGAAAAACGGCTTGAGGGAATGTTATGGGTGCTCATGGGGGTCTTATTGGGCATCCTTATCAGGAGTATGTTGAACTATGCGGTAATGAGGAAGCTATAGGAAAGAATCTATAGGCGATGTTAGGGGATCTTAATTTGAGTCTTATTGGGGATCCGCATCAGGAGTACATTGAATTAGGAGGACTTTGTAGAAGGGGTATTCAATTAGAGGCAGAGATCTCCTTGGCGTTAATCCAAACTATTGGTTCCAAAGTGCGTTCAACAAGGAATATAGATAGGGCAATCCCTTTGAACTACTCTATTAGTTCATTTTGTGAGCATGTTGCGTGACTACATGTATGCTCTTAACCTGCCATGGCCAGGCATCTTGGCTGTGAAACGCTTAAGCATATGACAGGTGAAGGTGATGGCAATTTCCTCTACACTCCCTTTGCATCATATGTAACTAGACATGGTTTAAAACATCTACTGAATATCCGGGGGGGGGGGGTTTAGCAACGTCTCGTGCAAGGTTTCAACACAAAACCTGCAACCTCCCGCCAGAATTAAACTCAGGCCAAATGCTGAAACGCTCATGTCCTTGAGATGTCTGAACGTGCGCGTATCAAAAAACGCGCTGAGGCCTTTCGCAAATTTCCTAAGAATTTTTCTCCGAGATGTTCTTAAGCCCAACATGAAACATGCTGACCAGTGTTTGTCTTGGTGACACAGTGCCAAGCTCCCCATTTACATGGTTGAGCGTGCTGAAAAACACGTGGCAAAGACACGAAGTGTGCTCTAGCTTGTGTGGGATCGACACTTAATCGTTCCATAGGAGTCTTACTGTGCAAACAGTCCACACCCAAAGTGGCTAGTGTGCATGAGTCCAGCTTTGCCGACTTTTTCACACAGGGCTCCCAAGGACAGAGAGCGTGACCTTTATAGGTGACTTGGTCCTCTTGAACTCGGACGGTTGCAAGGTGCCTGGAGCACGGTGGACAGTTCTGCGATGCTGTAGCATTTGCAAGCTGCTGGGCTGTGGTCTCTCCTGGCAGGGGAGTTGCCTGGATGCACCAACCGAACTGGACCAACAACTGGGCAGCGCGGGCATGTTGAACCATCTGTCAACCTGATCTATTATTCAAGGACAACGAAGAAAGCCTGTTCGACGATGCCGGAGGACAAGAATGCGAGGAGGCCCTAAGACCTGCAGCTCTTGTATAGGTTAGGTTTCCCACACCGATAACCGATAGACTGAGACCCATGATGTTTGCTGTGTTGAAAGCGGCATCGCCTGTGTTCAGCTATCCATGGCTGCACGTGTGCGTCTTCATGGGTGCAGAACACTCAGCGTTTGGCTCGAGTGCCGCGGCTGAGCCAGTGGGTCATAGCCAGCACGGGTCTTGGCTGAGTACAATGCAGCAAGATTCTGCAGTTGCGCTCATTGGCTGTGCTGGCAAGATCTGACCATGGCTGATGTTATGACCAGGCATGGCAGCTAAAACAACTGTTCATGCGGTGAGCTTCGGCGATCCTCCTGACCCTACGAAAGTGCAGACTTATCCTGGTGTTGCCCGACGTGCCTCAGCAGCCATCGTGGTAGAGGACCTAGGATCAAACTGGACACTGCCTTGCAGCGACTCAGGTTACCTTCCTCATGAAGCACTTGTTATCTACAGGCCCTGCCCTTCGCGTTGGCAGCATGCGAATATGCACCAAAACAGAGAAAGCGTATAAGCGTAGCTGCAGGGAAAAGATCTACGCCGAAAGGAAGGCAATCACGTGTTTTCAGGGATTTGGCTTTTGCACGCTGTTTGTGTGTGCTGCATGCCAGCTGCCATGCAGGCTTACCAAACACCGTCTGGCGCCCGCTGGTTCAAGGATACCGATCCCGGGATGAACGTGGAGTGCTTGGGAGTGATGGCGCAACGAATTCTGGATTGTAAAAGTTGCCGTGTTGCTTTAGCTGTTGTTGCAGCCGTCGACGCTTTTCTTTACCGCCCCCCCAATGTGAGATTTTGACAGATGCCCCAAGTTTTTCCCGTGAAGTGCAGATGTTTATTGAGGTGCCTCTGAAGTCTCGTATCTTTAGAATCTTGCCGGTTTTTAATAGAATGCTGCTTTCGGTTTTTTAATAAGCATTCTTTAGTTTTGAAAAACAAGTTCGTTCAATCGCTCCTTTTCCTGGCTCGATTCGTGATCAGTGGGACGAGACCATGCGAGACCTGTTTACAAATCCTTTTCAAAACCGCTAGTGCCGCGGGAAGGGTCGCAAGTTCGCTGGCTTTCAGTCGTTGTCCGCAGTGTTGGGCTCTTCTGCCAAAGGTTCTGTTTGGTTGGTTTGGGCCTACGCGAGTAAACAATCCCTATCAGATCGCATGCAGCAATCCATGAGACATGCTGAACTGTCGTAGGGAGCTGTCGCGCCGTATCCCACCTAACAGCGGGCAAGATGTCTGCCGATGCACAGAAAATTGGTAGGACAACGAGGCCGCTATCCACAGTATCTTCCCTGTGCAGGTCGTTGCCCCCGGAGAGCCATCTTAAACTGTGTTCGAAGCTTAGTTCTTCATAAATTGTCTCATAGGTGTAGTGTAAGCTTTGCAAGCTACATCATCCACAGCGCATTCTCGTCAGCCAACCACTGCTCCTTGCCACCATTTCTTGTGTCCCCAGAAACGGCCGGCCACAGTTTCCTTATGTATGAATAGAGCTCTTTAGTCTTTATAGGCCAAAAGCTCAGCCGCTGGATGCAAAGATTCCTGGCAGGAGCACAGGCGCAAGCAGCGAGAAATGGAGAGGGTCGAGAAGCAGATTAAAGATTACAGGGAATCTCGCAGGCCCTCAGTCTTTTGCAGATCGCAACTTCTACTGTCCAGCCGTATTGCAAAGTCGCTGTAAGTGGTCCTGCCGCCAGGGAGTTTGCGCGAAGCCTGTCGCTGCCCAGCATCTAGCAACAATATGCAGCAATGAAGGGAGGCTCAGGGCTTGAACTTGGATTGAAATTGGCATGCGTAACATCACTTGGCAGCAAGCGGCTGCTGTGGTATGAGCGCGAGGTACAGACGGCTGTTGCTAAAGAGGCAAGGGATGCCAGTGGCAACTGCCAACAAAGTAGATGTCTCTAGGATTGGGGCTCTGGGGGTCACGGTGCCAGCACAGGTTGCTGACTGCAAGGGTTGGCTTCATTATTGGGAAGGCCATCAGCCAAGCTGAGGGCGCCAGAAGCAATGCCACAAAGTGGATAGCGTTTCACTTGACCAGCCAACCTTGTGCGTTCACGGCAAAGGCGAGTAGCAATCAAATGCACACAAAGGCAGATGCAAACACGCGCAAACATACGCAGCGAGTTGAAGTTACATATCAGCATGTGCCAAGCTGCATTGTGTAGGCAGATTCTTTGTTGGTGAATGCCTGGCCTTACGAATTCTCAAGTCGGGAATGATGTTGTAGTTCCCAGAAGGCAGCTGCAAAAGCCGCCAAAGGCGCATGGCAAATGTAGTGACTGGGGCGCCAGGCTCCTTTCGTGCCACCAGCCTACTGCAGAGACTGCGGCAGTCTTTCAAGCTGGAAGGCTCCAGAAGAGACGACCACAATTCTGCCTGCAGCGCGACAGATGCGAGAAAGAAGGACTACTCCTTGTGGCCACTCCCGAGATATGGGCCTTTGTGCAGATCATCTTCCAAGGGATCACCTCCAACGCTGCTGGAAGCGCGGCAGCGCGATGCAAGCCCTATGAAGGCGGGAAGTCCTCATGGCGAAGGCAAGGATGCGCGTGAGCTCAGCCTTAAAAGGCGGGACGATTTGGAATTAAGCGGAATGGAAAGTGATGAAACATGCCTAGAAATCATGACTGATCCGAGTTCCAGCCCCCTGAAGGCTTTCGCTGGATGCTTCAGCGCAGCAGCCCAGAAAGCCTGAGATGTCGCGAAATGGCCGAAAACAGCAAGTCCATTTCGCTTCCAATCAAGGTCCTTGCGAGGCATCTGCGGCCTGCCGTAGCCCAAGCCTCCGTCGGAAGAACCGACGGACGAGGACCATACACACATGGTTAGGTGCCATGTTGGATGTCTCTGAAGGCGGCTTGGATGCAACGATTGAGCCTAGCTCACCATTGCCATCTGGGCGGTCCTCGCGTTCTCTGCGAACACTGGCTGACAGCTCCGCCCGTTCAGTTGGACTCGGCAGCCCCCCAACCAGCCCCGCAAGTTGTGCAGAGAGCATCATCACGCTCCTGCGGGAACATTTCTTCACAAACGTAGACTTTGACGGCTCTGGCCAGCTCTCCCGTCAAGATCTCTTCGACCACATTCGAGAGCTTTTGGAGAAAGATGCTGGCAAGCTTCTCACAAATGACGATTTGGAACTGCTGGGTGAGGTAGAGAGATGTCGTTTTTCAGAGATGGACTTGGGACTTCAAGGTCAGCAGGGCTTAGGCGTCTACGAGTGGGTACATTTCATTATGCTGCGTGCGTCGGCGCCAAGCCATGTTGCGGCAAAACATCTGAATCGACACCTTAGAACAGCGCTGGAAGAACAGCCAGAGCTTCTCAAGCGACTGCATGTGACCTTTGAGGCTGCAGATTCTGAAGGTGATGGATTATTACGCCGTGACACGTGGCAGCGGGCCTTTGAACCTTTGGGGGTGCAGGAACCGGAGCCTGGAGATTTTGATTCCGAAGAGCATGGCCTAGCAGGCGCTCTTAGTCTCGCCGTCCTCTCTTTAGCACGACTGTTTTGGTTATAGTTCCGGTTGCCAAAAGGTTTCGTCTGCACTTTCGCAATTTTTTGCATGTTAATTACTGCTCAGGCTACTACGCATTTTTGGCTCATGCGTTGGGCTTGAAGGCTTCGACAGTGGAGCTTGCCCTCTACGATCTATCTAAGGGAGTGGCCCAGTGGGTCCCTGCATCGCTGCTTGGAGGACATACCTTTGATGGTGTTTGGCACTCTGGAATCCGCGTCTTTGGCAAAGAGTTTTGGTTTGGTGGCGTGATCTTGGAATCTGAGTTTGCAGACGTGCCTTTCGGCGCTCCAACCAAGATCTTGAGACTGGGGACGACGCTGCGGACACACGAGGACTTGGTCGAATTTCTCAAGGAAGATGTTTATGTAGATTACAACCCGAAGAGCTATGATGTCCTTAGACGAAATTGCAACCACTTTTCCAACGAGCTGGCGCAGTTCCTGCTCCATGGCAAGCAGCTTCCTGAAGAGGTGCTCTTGCAGCCAGAGTGGGTGAAGAACGCCATCCTGGTCAGCATCTTCCATCCAGCTCTGAATCGCTGGCTTGGTGGGTTCGGTGATGCCTTGGCGGGCCATGACCGCGTGAACGGGGCACCGCAGGCAGTGAGTCGCATCGATGACATGACCGAGGAGTGGCGGCACCGGCTTCAGGTTGGGGACTTGGTCATGCACCGACAGCGTTTCATCGACCGACCACGTGTCGCCCGCATACTGGACATCTCTGGGCCTGACGAGAGTGGACGGCGAGTGGCAGAAATCAAGTTTTTGAGACCAACAGCGGTCGGGAGCTGGGAAGATCTCTCGATAGAGTCGCCCCCTTGGGCTTGGGAGATAGTGCAACAGCCTGATGTACCGCTACGGCAATTTTATCCTGTCCTGGAGGATTCCCAAGGTGGTGCTCGCATTCTCAGGGCCAACATGGCTATGCGAGACTCAAGGGCACGCAAGGTTCTCCAGAGGCCTCGTGAATTTCCAGTCCAGCCGGTGTGCGCCAAGGGACATTCTCTGAAAGCCCAACAGGGCCAGTGGTGGCAAGTACTGGGCACTTGCTCAATTTGTGCCTGCAGCCTGAAGGGTGTTGAGTCACCACTTGTGTGTGCTCAGTGCAGCTTTGCTTTATGCTCGCGCTGCCACCATCAAGCTTCGCAACTGCCATCTGGCGGAGTCTTCACAGATGTGTTGACCCCAGAACTTGCCAAGGCATTGTTACAGGAAGAGCGCTGGCTGGCATTCAAGTCTCGTTCCTATTTCTTCAGGGCAGATCATCATTCCACAGGTGTTGTGGACAAAGGAAAGGTCGGCCGGGTAGATGCCCGCCTGGCTGCTGAACTTGGCGTCAAACCACTAGCAGAGAGCGAAATCTTGAAAGAGCTGCAGCGACTCGCAAAGCCTGAGAGCAAAGCTTTGCAGCTGAATGAGGTGAGCTTCCAGGCTTTTTTTACGGCAGCATTGTCTCGTGGCCTGGCCCTTCTCGCGTCTGGAAAAGAATGGCGGCCATGCATGCGCAAGCGCTCCAAACTGCGTGACCGGACGCACAGGGCACATGCGGCCGAGATTGATGAAGCCCACCACATGCCGAAGGCAGTGGACGGATGCTAATTGAATGGAATTCGTTCGGCTTCCAGCCTTCAAGTCTCACCAGCAGAGTTAGCATCGTCAACGTTCAGCACCAGTGTAGTCATGCTGACAAGATGCCTGGCAGCGCGAGAGGTAATAGCTGGGGCATTTTCGGTTCTGATAGGTTCTGCTTCACTAACACGGATTGGTGCTGCGCAAGCTCACATTTCAAATAGTATCATGAGAAGACTACGTGATACCATTGCTTATCCACGTTCAGTGGCGCAGGCGAGACGCCGTGAATTCGTCACGCATGCCATGCAGCGAAGTGCGGGCACATGGTGCAGTACGGCTCCGCTTTGTAGCGAGCAACACTACGGTTACTTTTGCTTCGTGTCTGCACGACGACATGGCTGCAGTTGGGAACTAAAAACGCTCCCACGGATGCCGTGCACAGAACATGTGTGTTATGAGCTTGCTTGTGCAGCGGTACGAAATCAGCCTATGTGAGGACCTAATCTGGGGCTACCCTCTCACATTAGAAGAAAAGTGCCGCACAAGTTTCTTGCAAGTTTAGCCACAGACTTGCAGATCGCTATGCAAAAATTGAAAAAAAAAAAAAAAAGGTGACCCGGCCTTGCACGGCATTTTCTTGCATGCTTGCAAGGTCACGTGTAGGAGCATGGGTGTAGACAGGTCGCAGATTTGAGGGAAGACGGCGGTCAGGAGACCCATAGTCTACCAAGCGTGTGGCGTCCCAAGATCCGGATAAGATGTCTTCCTGGACGATGCAAGAGGGTTGGACTAAGGCGAGCACTCGCTTGTGAGGATGCCCAAGCCGCACAGTTTACGGCGATGGTCTGAGCTTTCTCCTGGTGGGCTCTTGGTCCCACAGCTTTCCTGTTGTTAGGATGTCGTGCTTCCTTTGCCCGGCTCTGATGCGGTGGCCTCTGGACCTGTTGCTCCTCGCAGATTGCTTGTGATTCTAAGTGTACAGGTTGTTTACCCTGAGTACCTCCAGAAGGTGTATGAGGAGCAAGTTGGCAAACAGAAAGCCGTGCTGTACGACATGTTGAAGTCACTGTGTGAAGGATCTCTCTATGAGTTTATTGGGGCTATCCCTGAATGACTTTGCTTCCAGCAAGCTCGTTCCGTAGCCATCTCAGTTTTGTGAGGGCGGCCCCGCTTCAAGGTTCAAGGTGGCATGCCCGTGTCTTGATTCAAGGTTGAAGGGCTCGTATCGCCATGCAGCAGTCTGCCTGGGGCCCGGAGCGATGAGGAAATCAGAGACAAGCAGCCGAGATGTTCTGAGATGTTCCGAGCTAGCTTGTGTCAAGGCCCAGAAAGTCTCGAGTGGCGGATCGTTCTCCCGGACGGCAGCACTGGTTGGAACAATCAATGGGATCAGTGCCGAATTTGTGCTGTTCACAACACTTTGCGAACTGATTGCTTGAAGGAGGAACTCCAATCAACAGCAGCATGGATCTCAGACGCTTTTGTAGTTGCAGTGCTGTGCAGCAATCCCATGGTGCTGTATAGGCCACGAGAAGCGTAGTGACATGTAGTGACGGTCACAGATTTTGGGAGCCACGGTCTCATTCCAGCATGCATTGCCCAATCGGGTTCATACTTCACACTGGCACATGATTCAGTCGCGCAACTTTCGAACTTCTGCTTCCAAGGCATTGATTGACAGCGATGTGGCCAAGCTCATGCGGAACCGACCTGTGAACGTGGAGCTTGGACCTGATCCATTGCTCAGACATAGGTCAATGTCTTCTGCGATCTTGAGCTGGAAGCCTTCTGCTTGAGGTTGAGCGAAGGAGGAAGCATGGCCGGTGTGCCAGCTGGCGTGAGCAAGTCATGTGCACATGCTAAGCCGAAGGCTGAGACACGCACTGCTAGGCAGCCTAGTAAGCCGGCCTATGTACAAGTAGTCGGTAGCACGCGCCCCAGGCGCCCTGGAGTTTCGGCTACTTTCTGGGGATTTTGGTGCATTAAGGTAAGTAGATCTCTCCGCACGCACGGCTTCCGCTTTCCTTCCCAAAGCCGAGCCTGGCTATTTGCCACCTATCAGCAGAGCATACCCGAGCATCCATGCCCAAACCAGAATTACTGTCGTGTTCCAAGAGCATCTGGTCACCAGAGCGTCGATGCCCAAAGCATAATTAAGTCCGTGTTCCAAGAGCATACACATCCATGCCCAAACCATAGTTCCAAGCAGATAATACTCGGGCCATACTAGCCAGACAAACCTAAATAGCAAGAAATCTGTAGCATAGAATCCTAGTAACGACAACATTTGTCAACAAAAAACAAGTAGTTTCAGCTATGTGCAGCGCCTCTTGTTTTTGCTTAAACGATGTAAAAACCTTGGAAAATGAGCACAAATATGTTTCTAAAACAATGGTGCGCCTCGCGCGCATGTTGACTAGTTTGAGACGTGAACTTGTGGTCTTGTTTGCCCTTCCTGGATACCACAAGAGAACAGCCGGTATGGTGTCTGGCAAATGTCGTGGCTGTTCCCTGGTAGCTAGCACGGCAGCAAGTGGAGCTAGTGGCGTACATATCTATTTAGCTAACTGCTAGGGGAAACTACTGGATAGGTTTCCCTATCGAATCACGCCGCTCACAGCTGAGTGACGGAAAGTCATTGTGAGCATGTAATTATGTTGATGGGTCAAGACTGAGTAAGATTCCAATCATCCGGCTGTCCTCGCCTATCCACACAAAGGCCCGAACACCACAATGAAAGTCAATGAACATTTGAGCTTCAAGACATGTCAAGCACGCAGCCACGGACTTCCTGGCGTCGCCACAATATAATGTATTTGCTGCTCGGTATCAGGCTCAAGCTTTAGCGGCATAGCGCCACGCTGTAATGTGGATTATAATTGCGTCCTCCCGTTCCATATCTGAACCAGAGCATTCCTCGAGAGTGTCGAAAGATTCTCTGACCTTCTCATTGGCCGAACAGTTAGAGCATCTACTCCTGGGTATAAAGCAGCAAGAAAGGGAGTCGTGCTGCAGACCCCAATGTGCGGGAGGGGAGTGTTGTGCTCTGCATGACAGTACCACGATGTTTTTGCATTGCCACGCTAGGCCGAAGGAGGCTTCAGATCAGTGCACAGCAGGCACAGGAGCCGCCAACTCAGAGAACAACCCAGAAGCTAACTCTTTCGATCTTCCGAAGCCGTGCAACCCTGCAGTAGTTGCTGCAAGACCGCACTTACTATTATTATTGAGGTTCTATGATTTCTTTGATTTCAGGATTAGTAATACTCTGATTATCGTGTAAGTGTATCATATTACCATTGTTGTGCTATTATGATAATTACATTAATGCGCCTACTGAAATTATCATGATCCATTTTCTCCGGTCACTACTTTTCATCTTGTTGTTACGATTATCATTATTACTGTTTATTGCTGCTACCATTATTTCAATTTCTGGCACTGTTACAACAATTATTGCCATTACAGTATGTTCTATGGCTATTGCCATAAGTACTACTCTTGGTATTTGTGTTTCACATTTTATTGCGAACAATTTTTCATTATTCTTATTTCTATCATTACTATAATTGCTCTTTTTTTACGAGAGTTGTTACCATTATCACCATTGTCACCAGTATTCTCATCATTATCAGAGTTATAGTTTTACTTAAGTATCATTATACTATCATTACTGTCATGGTATTACTTAATACTACTAGTACCTACAAGTATATGTTATTATTAATAGTTGTCTTCATGCTATGATTCCCATTACTACTCAGCTGGGCATTTCGCCTCTGGCATGGGGCATCCTCACTCGTTTGCGCATAGGCAGGCACTGGCGTGGAGTGTCCTCACATTTTGCACTGAAACTGAGCTGTCGCGTGAGGCATCCTCCCAAAGGAAACAAGGAAGAAAAACACAAAGAAGAAACAGATAAGAAATGGAAGAACAGATTCCACCCATATTTACTCGTAGCAGCAGTGGTGGTTTTGGGTCTGTGCCCAAGCTTTGGAAGCCCTCCTGGCACAAAGCCGCATCTACGTTTCTTGTTCAGCTTAAGCCAGTTTCGTACGGGACGCAAGAGAACAAGACTCTGTAATATAGACCCTCCCGCTTCTTCTTGAACTTGCGTGGACCCGCGTAGACCCGCGCCACATAATGAGTGGGCCATATCGCTTCCTGATAGAATGGACCCGCGAGGCGCTGCAAGGGCCGGCGCACGACGTGCATAGGACCCGCAGGACCCGCGCAGACCGCATGGCCTCGCCGCGACGCAAACCATACAAATTGCCTCTTAAATCCGCAAAGAACCTGCACAGGACCCACGCACGTCCAATATTGGACCCTCTAGACTCTAGACCCTCTCTCTCGCTTCTACTAGGACCCGCGTGGACCAGTTGGCTCCCTGGGGTAATGGATGAGCCAGAAAGAGTGGCGATAAAGATAAGAGAGTCACTGAGAAATAAAGCTGAGCCTGGCTAGTCTCCTGGCGCAATGCTGTTGGTGGCCAGAGGTCTGTTAGCATCAGCGTAGATAGACGGTGCGAAAAATCCTCCTAGTCATCTGCCCAGGCAGTGCTTTTCAGCTGCGTGCTTCCGCCGTCCTCGTATCTGCGCGAAGCACAGCGTGCCACCACATTGCACTGGCATAGTCTCAGCCTACAAGCCTTCCTTGTGTTGGGTAGAGTGAGGACGATGTTCTTGAGGGAGGTCACGAAGCAAACAACCGCCCAATCAGCGGTCTGAAAAGATTAGCCAATTGCTGCGCAGTTCGCTTGTGCGCCGGCTACTTGCAAGTCTTCACATTTGCTTAGCGAATTGGCATGCCAGGCATTCATCATAACTTGCTAGCCTATCTTGAAAGTCGTAAGAGGTGCCTGCAAGCAGGGGGTATCTTTACAGGCATTTGCACAGAGGCCAAGCTCAAACACTACGAGCATGCAACAGACATCACATTCTTGTGTGAAGCTGGAGCCTTCATATTATGATCAATTGAGCATGTTGACATTTCCCAGCCTTTGGCGACAGATCTTATACCAAGAAGTGGGCTAATCCCATGTCTGATCCCCCGGGCTATCAGCCACGCAGTCAAACGCATGTCTTAAGAGACGTAGCAAGCCTCGCCTTCGACATGTCGAGCCGTTGATCCACAGCCATTTCGTCCAAATGCCAGGGTCTGGACAGGCTGGGCAGAAGATAATTCTGCTGGCAATTTACGGATCCTCATTCGTTCCGTGTACCTGACACAGACAATGCGCAGATTGCGTCGCCGGACCAGCCTGTGGGAGACTAAGCGAGCGGATGTCCAAGAGCCGCCAGCCAAGAAAGACCCCTCAGCCTACAAGCCCCTGTGAAGACGCGAAGGATGCTCCTACACAATTACAGACGAGCGATGCAGAAGGAACGGGAATTCGGAGACTGAAAGCTGTATGTCGTTGGGTTGCATGGCAGGAGTCAAAGACATGTGTTGCTCAGATCGTTTCAGGAGCTGGCTGCAGGCGCACACATCAGATGCTGGCTTATGAGTCCGTGCACTACCTTGCAAAGAGTGACAGGACTTTCTTCCGTACGGCAGATTGTCAGGGAAGAGCTGGATCGTGAGCCTGACGGCGAATCTGTCCCGACCTCAGAAAATCCTGGACATATGTATGTTTGTATATGTGTGTGCGTATGTATGGACGCATGGAGGTCGGTAGCATGGGCGCATTCCAGAATGTATGCATGTGCATGTATGCCAATTTATGCACGAACATGTGCACGAACATCTGCACGTACGCACTCACGTGTGCATTTAGGTATGTATGTGTGCATATTTTGAATCGACATCAGCCCGTGCACCCTGCCATTGGCACGAGTATTGCCAAGTTGTAACTCACGTCACACATAGCCCTCAGGATCCTTAGGTCAGGGCGCATTCAGCCGGCGCATTTGCTGCTGATAAAAGTCAAAGTCGAAGCAGCGGCAAAGCCAGTCACAACCGCCGATGAGTGGGCAAGTGCGGGACACACCAAAGGGCAAAACAACAACTGAGCCCAATAAAATGCCCAGAGCATGTGGACACGAAGACTGCAACTTCGGCTGCAGGAGCTTGATGGGAAGAGCAGTACTGGAAGGGGCAGAGTGGCAGACAAACCTATCGAGCGTGGCAGACGTCCCCCTGCAATTCCCTTCCAAATCTTTTGGAGATGTTCCTTGGGATGTTTTCGGCTGTTCTAGCTTCTAGCTCCTGAGGAGGCAGATGGAGAGTCTGAAGGCATGGTCAATGCACATCCTTATGGTGATTTCGTTGCAGCGGCGAAGCCGAACAGATGGAGAAGAGTCAGAAGAGTGGAAGCTCATCATTTGTGTCCGCCATGTGGCGGCCTTGGCCTCTCATGCTGAGGGTACTCGTCAGATGAGCACGCCAAGGATCTCAACATGTCGATCGGCAAGGTTGCTGCTCAGGCAGTGCCACGCAACCGTTCGATGTCTCTGGAATCCGACACCGCTTGCCAAACTAAAGTGCACACAGAAGCTGAAGTCCGAAGTCATCATGTCATTGCTTGGTGACTCTGGTTAGATATTCTCAGGTGGGCCATGCAGTGCACCACTCTGTGACACATTCGAGGCCGAACGCTTCTGCGTACTGCTCAGGGCACGGCTGGAACGGCAGTGAATTACGACGTTCCCAGAAATTGCTTCATCCAGCTTCCCAGCAGGTGGCGAGATCTGAAGGATTGGGAAGAGCTTGAGTCTATGTTTAGTAGATCTTGGTGACCATGCAACATCTGACAGCGGACTTTCAGGTCAGGATCAAAGAAGGTGACCTTGAAGACCGAAAGCCGCATCCTTGTTAGTAAAACGCTTTTGCATCTGCGACCATTACATTTAAAGTTGTCGTTCGTTCGCCCAGCTTCAACCATTCCACCAGAGAATTGCAATCGATAGAGCATGCAATGCGCAGCTTGGTCTGGAGATCCAGGACCCTAGGATCACCATCCTGTTTGCTTCCGGAGCTGACTGCTACAGCAATCCGGAAATATCCAGGATAAAGGTCGGAGAAAGCCCAGCGAATTGACCTTCACTTAAACTGGACTGAAAGGCAGCCCTTCTTCAAGCAAGTGGGTGCCGCGGGGGCACAGTGGGGAAAGGCCGTCCCAACGCCAGCACAAAGTCCAGGCTTTCTGAGGCCACGCAAGGCAGTAGACAGCCCCACCGACAAGCATGCAAGCACTCAACGTACCAACCTACCGCAAAAGAGGCCCATGCAGCAGAAGCAGGCTGCCCACGCGCAAGCAAGCACTCAATACTGCAGCCTACTAAGGACAACAAAGCAGCAGTCCCTGCATGTCTTTGAATCCCGGCTTGATGCATGGTCCGCTCACTCTGCTTGAGCCTCACGCGGAGTCATTGCTGCTGGCCCAAGCCTCACAAATCCATCATATCCACACGACGTCGTGCCATGTTGTGCCTTCGATGTCGCTCCATTAATGTTGCACAAGGGCAGCAAGGATAGCGAGGCATGCTGCCAATCCAAACGAACCACCACCAAGCTGAAAGAGCTCTCGCAGCAGTCCAGCTGGGAGATCGCTTGCAGCTTGCTTTCAACGTTGCAGCAGCAGCGTATTTTGCCGCAGGCTGTTGATTTTGCGATCACAGTCGCGGCCTGTGCCAGAGCGGTAGCATGGCAAAAGGCGCTCACCTTTTTACAAGACATGAGCGACCTTCATATGGCACCGAGCATAGTGGCGCACAACTCAGGAATTAACGCATGTGCACGAGCTCGAAGATGGCAGCAGTGCTTGGCAAACTTTGCCGCGCTGCGCTCTGGAAGCGTGGAGCCGAGCGCAATTACCTTGAATTCTCTCGTTGCGGCTTGCGAGAAAGCAGCAAAATGGCAACAGGCTTTGCTGCTGCTCTTCTGGGCACGTGATGCTTCCCTGTGTGACACGGTCACGTTCAATTCAGCTCTGAGCGCGTGCGAAAAAGGCAGTCAGTGGGAGCACGCCATGAATTTACTGCAGGAGATGGATGCGTCAAGAATTGCGCAGGATGCAATTTCGGGAAGTGCAGCTTTGTGCACGCTGGAAAGGAATAGCAAATGGAAAGAAGTATTGGACTTACATGACCAGATGGAGCCGGCCTCTGCAAGTCAGGCCCCTAGTGTCAGTCTGGCAATTCAAGCCTGGGGCCACCGGTTGCAGTGGCAGGCGGCAGCGAGTTTGCTCAGCGCAACGCGTAAGGAATCCTTGCAATCTGATACGCAGCTCGTGGGATGCGCTGTTTCCTTGTTTGCCAAAGCAGCGGCGTGGTCTTCGGCTTTTTCGCACCTGCAAGGGGCTGCCGCTGGTAATTCCAGAATAGACCACATAGCGCTTACGGCGGCTACTTCAGCGCATGCATCCGCTGGCCAGTGGCAGGTGCCCATGAACATGCTGGGGCAAGCGATGTGGCGGGACGACACCAGTGTCAGCTTCGGTTTGTCAGCAATGGAAAAAGCCAACAGCTGGTCTCTAGCAAATGAAGTTCTTCAGGGAAGTGCAGCGCAGCAAGTGCGCCTTAGCTTGGTGACTTACAATGTTGCTGTTGCGGCGGGGCGGCGCGCTGCTTGGCATAGGGCTCATGGCATGCTCATACAACTCCAGCAACAATTTCTTAAAAGTGATGTTGTGGGCTTTTCCACGTGCATTGCTGCATGCAATGAATTTGGCAGCTGGATCGCAGCCAGCCTGATGCTGGAGAGGATGAACCATCTGCAAGTGCAGCTAAACACAGTCACTGCTGGAGCGGCAACGAGTTCATTTGAAGCAAGCCAGAGATGGGAAGAAGCCCTTGAGTTCGTGAGGATGGCCACAGGCGCAAATTTGCTTCTGAACGGCGTGCAGCTCGGAACAGTTGCCAGTTCTGTGCGTGAGGCGCGAGGCCTGGGCCATGCACGCAAGTTTCTTGATCACGCCCGACGGCTGTGGGTGGAAGCAGAGCCACCGAGGCCGCGGCCCTTTGCAAAGCAAAGCTCGTACCAAATCATCGCAAACACGCCGGGAATTTTCGCGGTTTCCAAGCCACATGGGTGTGCCACTGAAGAACTTGTAGCTCGGCTCCAGCAGCAGATGAACTGTGAGCTCTCCATCGCATCGCGTTTAGACTACGGAACGTCCGGTGTGCTGCCGATTGCATTTGGTTCCGAAACATCCGCTGGGACAAGGTGGCTACAGGCCCAGTTTGCAGCTAGAGTGGTACACAAACAGTACCTGTGCTTGTGCCTGGGCGATCGTGACCTGAGCACTAGCGGGAGACTAAGGAATAGCATCCGCACCTGCAATGTTGGCCTCCAGAAGTGGACTTCGGAAGTTTTGCAGTTGCAGGATGGCAATGCAGCCATAACCGATTATACGCTGCTTGCGAGGTATGAAGACCCTATCAGTACCAACAAATTTTGCTTGCTGTTGATTACGCCCTTGACTGGCAGAACGCATCAAATTCGAGTCCACATGGCAAGTATCGACCTGCCCATCGTGGGTGACACTGAGTATGGCCCAGGGAGTTTAGGTATGCCTTGGTGCAGCAGGCTTTTTTTGCACTGCTCCACCTTGGATTTAATGGGACTCGACGGAGAAACTCTGCATTTCAGCGCAGAGCTCCCTCATGAGCTTCAGCTCATGCTAATGCAGCTGCAGGTCCTTGAAAGTAAAGCTGCTTGGCAAGATGCACGAAAAATGACGCGCAGGCAAAGCAGCAGCAGTTTGCATAAGACGTTTTAACTCCCAAGACCCACTCCACCCAGGTGAAGCTGAATTGCAGGAGCTTCTGCAAAAAGCAAGGTCGCAGGGGCTGCTGGTCCAGAGCTCAGTTCGAGTCGGAGCAGGAGACCCCAGGCCAATGCATTTGACTAACAGGGAGAAGAACCAGGAAAAAGTGCCGGGCTGTGATAGGGGCACACAGTGACATGACAGATGGGTCGAGCGGCGCTTCCGTTGGCCCTGAGGCCGAGACCATTCAGGATGCCGGCCACACGGAGGACGCTCTATACTCGCCTTGTGCAAGACCTTGCTGCCTGCCCACTCCCAGAATCCGTTTTGTTGAAATGTATTGCATCGTTAACCAGCCTGCCTTGCACACAGAAGGTGGAGCCCGGTACTACGACGGTTCTAGCAATTGGGCCAGCCCCGGCAAGGTGCAGTCAGACATGTTTCCAAAGTGCTTGTGAACACGTGCTCTCAAGGCGATTAGACACCGTGACCGGCCATTTGAAGCCGCTGCCGGACTGTCCCAGCAATAAGATGGATTGCCAATATTGGTCATGGGCAGGTCGCGTATGTCTCGTTTCAAGCGGGCATGTCCGCTGTTGAGAGAGCCAGGTTCAAGAAGTGGGGAGAGTCGAGCGAGCCAAACATGCCCCCGAAACATGCTTGACACCGTCTCGGCAAGCAAAGAGCTTCTGATATGGTTGTATCTATATACATACCCTTCAAGTAAAGCCCGAGGCACACTCTGAAGCACACTTCGAAGCACGATTGCAGGACAGGGCCCAGCAAATGGAGAAACAGCACAAGAAGCTTTTGGAGCGTGCAGCACGGGCTCTCAGAGTTCCCAACTGGCATTGTGCTCTTGCCTGTCTCGTTATGCTTAGTGTAACGCTTGCAGGAGCGATTGCAGAAAGAATTGGATGAGGAGAGAAGGCGAAGCACTTTGCAACAACTTCTTGACAGCCCAAGTCCCTCCCACTACGCTCCAAACATTCCCAAATATTGATCTGCTTGCAGGAAGCAGAAGAAAGTGATGAAGCAGCCAGACCCTGAAATTCCTGCATATTGGTCAGCAAGATCCTGTATTTCCGCTGTTCCAAGGCTTACAGCATTCCGGCAATACCTTTGATTCAAAAAGATTGGTTCTTACTTCTGAGCTTCAGCAAATTTCTCCATTGATGGGGAAGTTCGCAAGCAGTTAAATCATTTTGAACTTGGTTTTTTACCGCGTGAAACAACACAAAACAACCCGGGCATATCTTGCGGCTTAGGACACTGCCAGGCCTCGACGCCAGCAGTATGCGCGCATGTTTTGAGAATTTGTCCTCCTTTGCTTTCGCCTAGATCATGAAAATGCCGAAAAGTTGAAATGGAGGTTTGACCAGGACCCTGCTAGAAGTGTTTGGGATGACAGCTCCTTGATTGGCAAGCCACAGCATGATGAGAAGAATGGATGATAATAATGGGGCGCCGCTTCAATTTCGTTTTTGCGGCTTCTTGCATTCTTGCAAGCAAGCCTTTATTATAGATTTATATGAATATGCGCTGCAATTGATCTGTGGGCCCTAGAGTTTCGTGGGGCTTGGCTGGGAAAATCCGCAAGGCAGGCATTGGGCATGGGAGGCCTCGACTCCTTCTCGGCTAAATTGATAAATATAAAATGATATTCTATTCAATCATAATCGATTTTGCGCTATATCTTCTGTGTTCATTGGAGTAATATAATATATCTTTTGATGAAATAATGATAAGAAATCTTTGGAAGATATAGGATATGAGATGGATATTATTTAGCGCTCATTACGGCGTTATTCATTTCAAATTAAAAATAAATTTCGAAATAGATTTTGATTGATAAAATTAATATCTTCTAGACTTCTCATAAAATATGTTTTTGTAATTTCGAAGATTATATTTATTGAGAATATTTGATAGAATTGTTTGCAAGCTTCTTATATTATGAGATAAATTTTATTACTATATCTAAAGATGATTATTCATCTATCTTAATTAATTAATATCATTATAATGGAGAATTGATATAGATATTTTTCTTGCATATTCATTTTATATAATTCCTTTTTAAAATGATATGGAGAATGGTATATATCATTAGAAGATTATGTATTTAAAGAGATGAAAGGGATTATAGGCTTAGAAAAATATTGTCGATATTTTGATGATTGAAAAATAATTCTATTTTTTTTTCGAAATATTATATTTGATTTCGGGAAAAATATTTTCAGAATGAATATATTAGATCTATTTTTTAAAAAAATTGATATTCACGATATTTCATATAATAATCGAGAAAAATATAGTTTCGAATTTGATGAATTTTTGAAAATTGTATTTGGAAATAATATATATAATTATAGTTCGAAAAGCATATAGAAATGATTGAAAATAGATGATTTTCAATTCTATGAGATCTCTCTTTCTTCTAAGAAATATTTTTTGAGATTTAGCATTTCTAATGATATCGTAGGATATTCAGATTTCGAGAAATTCAAGAATCTTTCTAAATCTAAAGGAGATTTGGAAAAAGAGATTTTCAAAATATATTATTCTGAATTAATCGAATATTTTCAATTTCTTCATTCTTTATGATAATTTAATAGAATCGATACGATCGATAGACGCTAGGTATGATAATTTGGAAAGAATAAAATGAGAATTAGGTTTTGCTAGAGAGGATGAAAAATATAGAATATATTATTTAAAGATATAAAGAGAATGATGAAAAATAGAATTTTGAGCAAGATTAGCTCATTAATTTGAAAAATCGAAAGGTTCAATAAAAGATATATCATTAGGCCGGCAAACCGATAGATTGATTGATAGATTTTCAGATCGATAGCTCGTGCGGTTGATGGCTCATCAGTGCTACGAATCGTTCTATGCAGAGATTGATAGATTGATTTCTTGATTGATTATTCGTCATTTCGAAAGTCTACTAGATTGAGAGATATATTTATAAGATTATAAAAATCGGAGGGGAGAGATGCCGCCTAGATATAGGAGGAAGGTACGAGCAGAAATATCTTAGATTTTATCCGATTTTCTTGAATCTATCTCTTCTTCATAAGATCTTTGAAAAAATGATTCTTGGAATTTTAAATAATTTAGAATATATCTTTCAATAGATCAATAAAAAAATTGAATTATCACGAATGATCGTATTTTTTTCATTAAGATATATTATATTCTAGCTTCTCATATTAATATATATGATATTGATTTTTTTCATCAAAAAATATTCATATTGATCTTTTGAAATTGGATTGTTTATTATATTTTCAAGATATTGATATGAGAGAATAAAAATGATATATATTATTTCAAATTTCATATCTATTTAAAAGATTATTTTATGATTATTCTTTATTTATATAAAGAAATTTAGAAGAAGAACATAATCTTAGATATATTGAGATAATTTATAAAGAAAAAAAAAAAAAAAATTATA